CTGCTCACGATTTCAGCGTTAGGCATGCGACGCTGCAAAACGTCTCGTCGCATCAATCAAGTGAACATGTCTCATGAAGAATCTTGAGTGAACTAGGCCGTCCCCGGAAGCGTCGCGCATTCGAGCCCGAAGAATGCGAACAGTGGGCGAGGGTCAACTTCTCAAGCAAAGTTAACGGGGACGGCTAAGCGGCTAGTTTACCAGGGGTAACGATCCAATGCATCGCAGATTCCGTTTAGCTATCAATGGTACACTCACCTCTTGTTCTCGAGAGTTGCAAATTTTTTGAAGAAACGGCGAGTTGATTTAGTTTGCATACAGGAAACGAGGAGGAGCGGAGCATAGTCACGTGACATCGGAAATGAATATAAGCTCCTTTACAAAGGTGCGCCTCCACCAGAAACGGAGTTGGTATAGCCGTCTCGGAGACTCTAAGGCGCAATGTAGTTGACGTTGAGCGCATGGGCGACAGTCTGTGTGAGCATAGAGATAGGTACTGGGGAACAAATCCTATGAATAATCACCACCTTTGCGCTGCACTTCGGATGTAAGGGTGATGAGAAGGACGCGTTCTGGCAAGAAGTTGAAAACCACATCAAGTCATTTCCATTGGATGAGATACTCCTGTAAGAAGCGGACCTCAGTGGACATGTGAGAGAAAGACAAGAAGTAGCCGGAAATGTTACGGAGGCCACAGATACGGAACAGCAACAAAGACGGTGAGCGCATTTTGGGGTTTGCCTCAGTTTATGCTCTGGTCTTGACAAAATATACTGCATCGAGAAGAATGAATATCTTATTCCATACAAGAGTGGCGGCAGACGAACGCAGATAGCCTTCTGGACTATTCGACAGAGTGATCTCAAGAAAGTAAAAGACTGCAATGTCATTCCTGGTCAGAAATATATACCTCGACACAGACTACTGCTTCTCAACATCAGAATGTCAATGGAAACGTACATCAAAAGAGATGGTGGATATTGAAGACCAATGGCGCGCAAAGCAAGCACTATTAAAAATCTCCCACACGCCTGCAAGAGAACCGAGGGCGATCCTGAGCAAGCTTGAAGGATCGCGTCCATCAAGTGGCACACATGATCCTGAGAAGTAGAGCCAGGAAGGAGAAGAATCGATAGATAAGCGTGGTGGTGGGATGAAGAAGTGCAAAGAGTCATAAAGGCGAAGAATGATGTGTACAATTCATGGTATAAGACAATAGGCTGATCGCTAGAAATACCGACAAGCCAAACACGCTGCGAAGGCTTCCGCAAAGGCAAAACGGATGTACGTAAGAAATCTACGATCCACTACAATTTCGCAATGGAGAATGTGCACAAAGATGTTCGCCATCGCTATCAAAGTCCTTAGTTGGACATGTGCTTTATTGGCTAGATCTTGTACTATAACAACTCGGCTGAATATAATATCGAATGATAACATCAAACGAAAACACAAAAAGAGGTCATAAGAAGTTCGAGATATTGGTAACCGTGAATGAGGGCCGCATGCACTAACAACCCCGCTGAGGAGGGGATCGGAGCTCAGAAGAAAGCTTCATATTCTGAAGCTCCAGAAATCTAGATTTCACGCTGTCTACCTGTCCGCAAGTATTCCTACTATCCCTCACTATGAACATATTGAACAGGAGCGAGAAGCTGTACAAGCCGCAATTTCCAGCTTTTGTATGATCCCTGACGATCCCCGGCGCTTTTCTTCAAAGTCATTTTTCTTTTTTTGAAGTTAACGAAGACTTTCCAAAGTTGTACTAATTATCTAACACAACAGTGCTAACAAGGGAATGGCCAGAAGTTGAAGTGGCCAAACCAAAGAAGCTGTATATCATTCATGCAGTATAAAACGCTGAATTCGAATCTGTCTTCCTTATCTGCTTCTTCTGTGGACGAAGCTACAAGCGGTTTTATTGTGAAAAAATCGTACATAAAAACAGCGAAATTGAGCAAATTGTTGCACTTTTAGCTCGGCTTCTGGCTTCAAAAATTTTAGGTAAGCTAGATGCATGTTTTGGCCCAGCTTTGAGGCGAACGAGGCTCTGTACGGGTAAATTTTCAATTTCACGCATAATTTCTAAGCAAAATAATGGTCTTTAATGGCTTATAACTTCGTCCAGAAAAGCGATAAGCAGATAAAGAAGACAGATTTAGAGTCAGCGCTTCATGCTACATCTAACGGTACGCAGCTTGTCTGGAATGGCCACTTCGATTTCTGACCATTCCCTTGTAAGCATGTTACTGATGAGAACAAATGAGTTTTAAAATATCGAATTTTTTGATAAACCACAACTTTCGACTTGTGGTTCATCGCAAATTTCAAGACTCCAATACATCACCTGTTCTTATCAGCAACATGTTAAGCAGTGTTGGGTTAGATAATCTGCACAACTTTGGAAACTTTTGGTTAACTTTGGAGAAAGAAAAATCACTTCAAAAAAAGTGCCGGGGATCATCAGGGATCATACAAATGCTGGAAACTGCGGCTTGTACAGCTTCTCGCTGCTGTTCATTGTGTTCATAGTGAAGGATAGTAGGAATACTTACGGTTACGTACACGATGTGAAATCCAGATATCTGGAGCTTCAGAATATGAAGCTTTCTTTTAAGCTGCGATCCCCTTCCCGCAGAGATGTTAGTGCATGCGGCCCTAAGTGTTCATTGTTAAAACAGTATTGCTATGACTGGGTGGTGCATCGAGAGATCACTCGATGTTTGTACGAAGTGTATGAGGCAGTGTCCCGGCAGATTCGGGTCCTGGGCGATATAGGTGTGATGGGGTTCCTGGTCACCCCACCGACCTCCAGGCGCAGTCCGGCTGGGTGATGTTCCCCCTGTGCCAAGAAAATGGCCCAAGAACCGGCGCGCGCAACCCCAACTGGCGCGCGCTCGGACGGCTACCCTTGTCTGTTCGGCGCGGGACCCCAAGAGCGCTCTCCCTCATTGTGCATGCTATCCAAAGCAAAAATTACAGGCGGCAGGGTCCTCCCACTTTCCATTTGAAATCTCGTCCGAGATGCTTTTTTGGAGTCAGGTAAACCAGCCAAAATCGGCCTTTTCAGCCCTTTCAAAGCTTGAATTCGGGTTCTACGTGGCGAAAAGGCCTAAAACATGCGGGAAGGTGGAAGTGCAAAATCTGCCGGGACACTGTCTTTAAAGTGAATCTGATCTTGTTCTATGCAAGAGTTTGATTGTTTGCCCTCACGTTTCTGAATATGGGCTAATCGCTTTCTGGGGTAAAATTTATCCCCTACAGTAGGATTTGCCCTCAATGCTCTTTAATCCGTGATCGATACTGGTTGAGCTTTCCGAGGTAAACCCTACCCTTCTTCAAGGGTTCATTGAATACGGCCAATGAACTTCGAGGGTAAAATCTACCCTTGAGGGTATGGTCTACCCCCAGGGTTCGTTGATGAATACGGCCAATGGTCTGAGAAAAACATGGAAACATCTGACTAGAAAGGCAACCCCTCCATAAGCGGGACACATGCGAAAATACGAAGAAAGAGCTGAAACCTTGGTCACCACTATATGTATCCCCCTCCCCAACTACTTATGATCGCATTTGATTATCCCCCCCCCCGTCCTTCTCCGTATTTAGGTCCTCTCGAGATGGGGCTAGGACAATCGAGAAATAGGACTACATTTTGCCAATTTAGGATGTTCCACGCTGACATCTGGAGCGGATAGCACCTCTTTCTTTCACTGAGAGGCGTGTACTTGTTGCAGAGGTCCGCGCAAACCTCCGCTTCGGGCTGTGCGACACATTTCGCTTAAGGACCTAAGTCTATAACGTGCTACTCAAACAAACAGGAGATATTTAATATCATGTATAGTTTGAACAGAATCTCTTTTATCCTCTTGTAATATTGGGCAAGTTTGAGCGCTATCAACGATTCTGCCAGATCTTACCGTACTTATTTATGGCCAGTAGAACTAAGTAATGTGCGCGGCATCCAAACAAACCAGCGGGGCACCTGTGGGAACCGACGTACTCAATGGGTTCGCAAACCCACTGGGTAGCGGAACCCGCTAGGTTCGTTGACACATACGGCCACTGCTTTTTTTTCGAACTGGACGAATTGCACACTATTAGGTTGGAAAGAAAAGAATGTCTTTTTTTACAGCAGAGCAGTAGGAGAATCGGAAAAATATGTGCAAGGTATCATGCAATAGAGCAAAGCAAGCTTTACAAGATGACATTCGAACATCGGCTAAACTCGTGGTTTATCCAAAGTTCAAAGCCAAAACATAAGAGCAACTTATAGTAACAAAATTGTATTTTCGTGCTAAAAAATTCTATGAACCTCACAATTGCTCCAGCATGTAGCAGACACACGCACTTATCCATTTGTGTGCATGCCATATTTTTTTCGTGATTAGAAATCAGAAGAAAATTGCAAAACGAAAAATGACAAACTCCGCCCTTAGTAGTCCTGGGCCCTGTTCATGTATGCAGTTGTGTACTACAAACTTTCGAGACTTCAATCATGAAATTTGAGTTTTCGATATGCTCTAGCTCCTGAGAAATAACAATTTTAGCTGAAAAAACCCCCGAAGATCACGTTGTTAGAGAACGCCAGTATACTAATGCACGTTACCGTATCCCTACCGTATGTCGAGAAAGTAGGGTGACGCTGTAAGGGACCGTTGGCGAGGAGCAATCTGATTTTAGAACCTATACTAATTCATTTTAAGAAAAGTGCTGCCATCTTTGGAAACCTTTCTTCCACGAAATTCGCCGCATTACGTTTTGAAATCTGTGGCGCGCATTTGCTTCTTTATTCAGTCAAACTTCACTTATATAGAAGTCCCAGAAAAGGTATTGTTCTAAGTTCGGCGAACATCAACGACATCGCATTGTGGAGGCTAATCAGCGGCCCTGACTGCATTAATCGAGCCCTAAGAGCTCTGCCGCTATGCACATCACCGAATACGAATTAACGCTCTTCTTCAAGAAATCACGCTGTCTCTGCGTTGACAATCTGGAAAATGTGGTGTCTTGAATGGCAATTGGCGATTTTCTTCTGCATTATGAAAATCAGACGACATGAAACGTAAGTGCAATCGAATAACACGCTTGAAAACATAAATGGAATGCAATTTCGATACCGTATATGGAGTCAAATGAGGAGACATCGTTCACTGAGTGTTACGCATAATATGAAATCCGTGTTGAGAGTCCTCAACATTTTATAAATTTATACAATATGAATGCAGTATTCGCAGTACGTTCTAGAGAAACTTGAAAATGGAACAGGTGACTGGAACAAACAATTCGAAAATCATAAGCATTCGTAGACAAATCCAAACACTTGACACTTCTCTCAGATAGAAAGGATAGCAAGTCTAAAATGAGAAAAAGATTTGAGTAAGTCTTTTAATACTGCAAAGTTTTTTAATACTTCCCCTTTCGAGTGTTTCTCTTAATCTCTTGTAAAGTTGCAATCGAATATAGAATTTGTTCCAAGCATGGAGAGCGAGAACCCCAGCTGGAGAAGATTACGGGTTTCAAAACTTTTAAGAGCTGAGTATCAGCCATTCATGCCATGTTCAATTTATGGGAGTAACTTACTATATATGGTGCAATGGTCAGACTGACTTTGACTGAATACATTTCTATTGAATTTGTGACCAAGAAGTGAAGCTCTTATGCTATTATTTCATAGAAAGAGGAGAGAGCAGATACTTGTGACATGTATTGCATCGTCAGTTCACAGGTAATCAAAAGCTCTGAACAATATGTCACTCAAAAATATTAGATTCGGCAATCTTTACTAGATTTGAAAATTTTTTTCACAAAATTTAAATCTTCTAGTAATTCCTATAATGGAAACATCTGTGAAACTGCCGTTATCTGCTCTATCTACTAAAAGGAAATGGTCAGAAGTCGAAGTGGCCGATCTATACAAGCTTCATACCATTCGATGCAGCATAAAATGCTGATTTTAAATCTGTCTTCCATATCTGCAGAGCGCCTTTGTAGGAAGTTATGAGCAGCTTTACCGCGAAAAAACCGTGTACAAAAATTGCGAAATTAGGCACATTATTGCTCTTTCAGCTCATCTCTAGGTACGGGTCATATGAAGTGACCTAGTTGCATGTTCTGGTCCAATATTGAGCCGAGAATGGCTTTGTACGGCCAAGTTTGCACTTTACACGCACAAATTCTTAGCAAAATAATGGCCTTCAACGGCTTATAATTTCGTCCACAAAAGCGCTCTGCAGATAAGGAAGACAAATTTAGAGTCAGTGTTTTATGCTGAATCTAATGGTATGCAGCTTGTGTAGATCGGCCACTTCGACTTCTGACCATTCCTTTGTAAGAGGGATCTCTTTACTAGTCTACTCTGTGCGCTCTTGAGTCCTTGAAGAATCATTGAGCACTTTTCTGTAAGCAATTTTGAGTCACAGGCATTCTTATTACAGAATCGAATTATATGTAACTAGCTGGCAAACCCGCCCTCCCGGCCCTGTCAGTAATATTCTCGTGATCAGAATGCATATTTACCTCTCTGTGCCAACTCTCAGCCGTGTAGGTCAAACTTTGCAAAAAATCGATCAAATCGATATCGATTAATGACGTAAAGTAGCCTACGACACCCCGGCCCCGTGTATGTGTACGAAGTTTGGTCCGGATCGGTTTAGAAATGGAATGTTCAATTCGGAACATAGGGACATACAGACATTCACACATTCAGCTTTGTATAGATCTGCTTGCGTTCTTCCTATTTCAAAAATACTAATACCTGGCGAGAGACTCAAACACGCCCTACGCCATTTTTTCATGTATTTTAAAGCCTTTCAAAGAACTGACTACCTTGAAGAAGAGCAAAAGCTGTGTTTACTTTAAATCTATATAGTAAAAATCACTTCATCCACAGGTACATTTGGTGGAAATTTTACTTGTTCAGTCACTGGATTTGCATTTATGTAAGGGATCTTTTGCGAGCTGATTGACTGGTTAGGACGGTAATTTGGGCTATAGGCGCAGTATGATGGTCCCATAGATGGCAATTTCAGCACCTGGGTTGTTCGATGGATGAGTAGTCGGATTACACAGCGCATTCCGTGACGACAACCTGTGTTTATTTGGCCATTTGCCAGGCATCGGATAAATGCTCAATCTGGCAGCATTTTGTAACTCGATCCGGCAGGTATAATGGCCGAACATGGATTGCATGCTGGCGGCCGAGTGCTGCCCCGGGCACCTTTCCGCGCGGGGGCCCGCCCGTCGACGGTGGTTCGGCTAATGACGGCCGGGAGGATCGTTTCGGAGCATTATGAAGTGACGTCGAGTGACTGGCCGCCGACCAATCGCGGGCGCGGAAGTCTGTGGGGCGCGGCCCGCCCAGCAATCTATTTGGCCAGAATTGAGGGGCGGTTCGGAGAAAAAGCCGAGCCAGCCGGCGCTCATCAACCTCCTAAACGGTATCGGCCCGAGCAGAGGAGCTGGTCTCGTCTTGCGTCACACACCGTTCGTCCCCTTCACGCTGGCGCACAACCATGTCACTGAACTTCTCCATCGACAGACTCGTGGACAACGCAAAAAGCACCGACTCGCAGGAGGAACGCGCCGCTCCCATTGCACAAACACTCTCTTACTTCGATGTGTTACTACCTCATGTACAGGTAATTGAACCTTCGCCACGCAATACACCCTTCTGGCAAGCTGCCAAAAATTTCTATTCTTAGATGGCATCTGCAAATCCGTTCCTCACCGGACTTTCCGACTCGCCATCTAGCCACAATCGACTTTGGTCGCAGCAATGGATCGAACTACTTCAGCAGGCTAATTCCTCCCAATTCGGTAAATTGATACTGAAAGCTTCATCTTATAATTCGACTTCCTCTTCATACGATTTCCGGTATTAATTGACTTCAATTACCATTTGGTATTTGAGCGCTGTAAGAAGAACTTTTTTGGATGTGAATACGCTGAAAATGTATGACATGAATCTTTTTGCGTATATGACCAGTGATTCGTCCTCAGTCAATATAAGAAATCCACAAAGTTTTCTACGTGAAATTGAAGTAAAGCTATTCTGGTCTATTAGTCTTGCCCCAAATAAATAAATATGCCCCCCCCCCCAAAAAATACAGATTTTGCTTTGGAAAATGTTTTAGAAAGTTTTGATCTAATATTTTTGACGGTACATATAACAATTGTTGTGGATCGCTTGTCGAGTGAAACCCCGAAAACATTATTCTCTTAGATATGCCTAGATCATTTTTATTCAGGGATTTGAAAAAGCCCGTTTTCTCTCATAGTTATACTGAGTTGAACAAGACACTATGTTTTTGAAAATTTTATTGCAGGGGTATATGGACCAAAGTATCAGATCTTTTGAAGCTTCAAAAAATTCATGATTCTTCAGCACCAAAAGCTTTCTTTCTTGAAGTCTGCTTTACAACTGAAAAAAGATGCGGCTCGTTGTTTCGGAAAAATCTTGTTGCTTGAAAAAAAAATTACATTATTTTTAATTATCTACTGCCTATGACTAGGTAATTTAGTAGGTCAAATCTGACATAATTTTTCTAATCTTTATACTTAAACTTTCCACTTGATACTAAATCTTCCTTCCTTACTGAGGAGTTCCGGAGAAGACTTAGAAATCAAGTCATACTCCGTCTAAAGGAAGGAACGAAACGGAATGAAAAACTTATACATAATGTTGTTTTTTATTAATACTTAACCGATCTACTGCATTTGTAGGCATTCACTGAAATTCGGCTCGAATCACTGCGTTTTTCTATCTGAGCATGACATCCTGCATCGTTTCTCTGATCCAGCAGCTTCTTCTCAACTTTTCCATGAATCATCCAAATCACCGTATACGAATCTCTGAGGACATCCTGACTTCTCTCTATCGATCTGTCCGGGTATTAAGACGTCTGATTCGCTCGGCCTTTCCGCGCAATGAATACTGAATAGAGAGCGCTGGTGCATGTTTTTCTATGTAATATAGCCATTCTACCTGCTTGCTATCGGGTTACTGTGGACCGACGGCGAAGCCGGCGCACAGCTCAATATATTTAGAGCCAAGTGATGAAGATCGATGTGAAACCTGTTCGAGCGCTACTCGCCAGAGATTGTTTGTTCCCTGGTATTAGGTACCGGCCAGCTAATTTTGGCACAGTCAATATGGTATGGGTTTTCTTCTCCAGGAGCGAAAATTTGAGCACTTTCATAAAGAGGCCGATTTTTATTACCGGATAGATATCAAAATGCACATGAATAATTGTCTGAAATGTTGACAATTTTTTAAACTCTAAAAAAATTTACTAGGTAGCTGCATTGCTCATCCTTTATATTATCTCAAAAAATCTTTCAAAGATAATGAAAGTCTCTTGAGAATGCATTGACAGGAAATTTGTAAATATTTCAGTCTAACTTTCTGCAAAAGCCTTCAAACTTGTGAAGTGATAATTTCTAGCCTAATAAGCCAAAGCAATTTGTCTGATATTTTTTTGGAGGAAGAGATCTGTACTAGGTCTAAATTTTTGATTTGACAGGACACCTCTTGATCGTTTTCTCAGTAGTGAGATGGGTAACTGCTTGAAAATTCAGTCGCAAACATTTTTTCACAGGTTTTTACATCAGCAATATGGATTTTTATGGATTTCTTGAGTTGACTTGGTTGCATTAAGACAATTAAATTTTCAAAATCTATCGAAACTTCAACGTGAAACTTATCGATTGCTTTAAATACCGTAATCAGCAATACAGTAATACCGTTATCAAATCACGTTATAAGAAAGGTATTCCCGCAAAGTGTGGAAAGCCATTCTTTTCCTCGGCAAAATTGCTTCCCCCTTAAAGTACTATGTAATGGCTAGTTAGATTTCAAACAGTCAATACACTAGGGGTATTGTTTTGCTAAAGAATATCTTGAGCGGTTAGGAGATAAGTAATTTGTTGAGAATGTAGGGTTAGGGTTGACATTTTTTGCGAAGGTTTTTGTCTATGCTTCAAAACTGAAAAATTCCTCAAGTTGGCTTAGTCTCATTACGCTTATTACATAGCTTCTTCGTTTCCCAAAATCTATCTGTCTTTAATATAATATCGATCGATTGCTATAATTACCGTACCCCAAGCATACCGTAATACGGTTATCAAATCAGATGGTAGGAGAGACGCTCACAAAGTGTACAAAGCCATTCTTCCCCTATAGCTAACGACAATGTAATCGAAGTAGTTCACCGAATATCTAGGCGACTCTCAGCTAAGTGTCTTTGTAGCCGATGTTTACTCACATAGCAAGATGAGCAATCGTGCTTAGCGCCGGGATTAGCGCTGGTAGAAGCTATGCTACAGCCCGGTGTCAAGTTGGGGTTAAGTGCGTTTCGACAACGTAACAATGCCCTCTTAACTCGGGTGCTCATATTGCATTCGTTTAGGAGAAGTTGCGGCCGGATTATTCTTGCAACCGTTTCGGAAAAGCAAACGAATTCGTACCGCATTTTCGCCGTCACAGCTTCTGCAGCTAGAGAGGGCGTTCGAGGGAAATCACTATGTGGTTGGTACTGAGAGGAAACAACTCGCAAACCGACTAGCACTTTCGGAAACACAGGTAGGTCTGGCAGAGCTACTATCTCTATCAAAGAGGCCATGATGAAATTCTAAAAGCGCGAAATTTGCGACTTCATACCATCTTATGCGCTCAAACCTTGCAAGTCCAACCAAGTTGTTGAATGATTTGGTTTTTTGTGTTCCATATATATCCAGACCAACATATTTGCGTGTAAAGTACTGCCATTTAACACAGTAATAATCAATGTCATTATTCTCAAACAGTTTATACCCAAAAACAGATAAAAATAGAGCGCTAGGTGGTGTGTTTTACGACAAAACTCATTGTTAACTGTTCCAAGTTTTTTTAAGACTGTAGACTACAAGATTAAGAATATTCCTTGAAGTTGACCAGTTCTAAGTTATGCTATGACAAAAGTTTTCTGTAAACTAGACTACGGACTTGAAAACTTTTTCTAAAATGACATGGTAAAAAATTATAAAAAGAAAAAGTAGGCGTCAATTTCTTGCCTAAACAGTTGAATGAGATAAAGTAGTAGCATGTCACAGAGTTAGTGAAGTCTATGCATTTTGAACCCAGGGTTAATGGATTCTGAGAACGTTTTCAGAACTGACTAAAAATATCAAGATTTCAATTTCCTGTCCACATGCAAAGTTCTTGAATCGACCAAAATGATGTGAAGATACGTCGGGTCTTACGATTAGACTGAGGCTCATCAACTTCAGACAATCTTTTTTAACCTGCCTAAAATATCATTCTTGGACTTAACCCAGCCATTCCAAGTAACCTGTATATCATCGGACTCGTCTTGAATCGATAATTTCAAATATATGTTATTTATCTGCCAAGCGACTATATGAAAGGAGTTATGAGCGTCCATATTAGAAATCTTCCGAGTTTTGGCGAATGTATTTTCTTAAAAGGTAACCTGATGGCGCGCATTTACATTGGGTATGGTTACTTTGATTACGAGGAAGAAGCACATTTACCAAAACCTCCAATAATTGTTCTTGAAATGTGTTTTGTGGAACATGCGTCACAGAACACTTGGAAAATCACACGTTCAAAGCTCATAATACCTCCCAGATAGTCCCTTGGCAGATAATAAACATATATTTGTGATCAGCGTTTCAAGACGAGTCCGAGATGTACAGCATGACTTGGTATGGCTGGGTTAAGTTCTGACCACTCCCTACTTAGCTTTGATTTCTTGAGAAATGCCTCCCTTCTTTACACTTACGAATGTTTTGGCGCTTCCGCTCTACTTCATTTGTGCTCAAAATTGTGGAGTTCAGTTGAGCTTAGATCGAATTCGAAGTTTATTGTGCTATGAAGTGCTGCTCATCCACGGCGCTTAGCCTGATTTCGCGTAGCGATGAGAGCGGGGCGGAGTGAATACGGTAACCTGATGCGATTACATTGTTCGAGTGTCATTATGGCAGTAGATAGCATGGGACGCGCGCGCCGCGCAGAGAGCGGAAAGACGGTCAACACGGCCGGATTGTCTCCGTTTCACCGAATATGTTTGCACTCGGGCTGTCGCTCTTCCTGACTCAATGAATGGCGCTGGCGAGATGAGGGCGATGCGCCGAGGAGCGGCTGGCTTTGAGCTCTTTGCGCTAAGCGTCGATGAAGATATCTTCAGGTCAAAGTCTGGTTCCAAAATCGACGAACGAAGCATAAACGAGTGCGAGTCGAGTGCGAGCAGCGGTCGCAGTCAAATTCACCGCAACCGCGAGAAGATGACGAAGACCATCAGAATCCGTCGTCAACGCAGAATCCATCGTGTACCGCCGACAGCGTGTCATGATGTACCGGTCATGCTCAGTATGCTGATTTATGCATTCCTTTTCTCGTAGGCAACATTCATTCGTTACAAAAATATGTTAGCTCTACAGCCACGTAATGCGGAACTTCCGAAGAATTTTGAGGCATAGAAGTTTTGCGCACCATCTAACTTTCTCGGAACTTGGTCTCTAGGACTACCACACAACAATTCCTTAATGCCATCCCGAAAGCTGTGAAATGCAAACTTCTGCGAAAGTTTCTCCTTAGGTGATTCGTAGGACTACTACGCAGAAAAGCCTTTCAATAATATCATTGCGGAACTTTGTAAGCTGCAAACTTCTTCGGAAGTTCCGCTCTAGGTAGGTTTATAGGAGTACCACACAATAAGCTAGAAATCTAATATTACCACAGTAAAACTTCCGAAATCTCAAACTCTTACGGAAGTTATGCGGTGGCATTGTGGTAATTCTTGGTTTTAGGAGAATTTGAATAAATACGAATGTTGCCTACTTTTGCACAATTTTGTGCGCTTGCTTGACAATTTTTAATTTTTTTACCATAGATGTGGGTGTGTTGCTGAAAATCTGTGATTAATGAATTTCGAAGAAGCTCTTTTACTTCTTAAGAGGAGTTCCGAATGTAGAATATGACTACTAGATTTTCTTCGGTGATTACCAATGTGCATGGATCAGGTTTACAATTTTTTGGACATTTATATTGTGGCTCATTCTCATCCTTGACAACTCTATCTATTTTTGTATTCCTTTTCGATTTCAATGTTCCGCTATTGCTCCTCTTTACCGTAATGACTAGTTTGGTTTTGTTGCGTACACAAATAAATGAATTGCGCAAAAGAGTGCATGGCGAGAACTGGATGTGTGTCGGACCAGTGTCGTTTCCTAATGAGGGAGGAAAATTAGCAATTGGCAAAAAGTGAGATAGGCATACTGACAAAAAGCGAGTGCGCAGCCGAGTCAAGGGCGAACTCGATGCTGCACTCAAATTGACAGGGGCGGCTGCATATTAGGCGAGGATTCCCGAGCTCATGCAAGATTTACCGTACCGCGCGCGCATTCGGTGCGCGCAATGCAGTTGTCGCTATGGCGAAGAATAAGCAGCGTCGAATAGGCGGATAATTCGTGTAATGACGGTTAGAAATGCCGGTGTTGATGTGTTCAATGAGGTATGCGAGCATCTATTGCTGTGCACGATGGGAAAACCTCGTGTGTCTAAATCACCACCTTTCCTCATCAGGTGCACATCGAAAACGCATTGCCAACACGCGTCGAATTATATGCTCCCTCACGAATTGAAGGGGACAAGCTATGCGGTAAAACCTCAGCCTGATGTTTCTAATATGAGCGCATTTGGGATTGTAATCCGAATCAACAAACTCACTGGAAATCTGAAAAAAATTCCGTAAACTTGAATTTTTAGTAGCTTTTGTTTACTGTATGTTGACCAAAGAGTGTATGTTAGTAATCGCAATGAAAATGCGAGCGAATTATGAAGGATAATACACGGTTTCGTTAAATTTAGTTCGAAAAGGTTTTTTTGGAAGTCCTCACATCTTCTTGTCGGTGGATTGCCTATACTACTCTGTGATTTCTGTGAATCCCTTAAGAGATATCTGTGATTCATGGAGGGTAAACCGTCCACCTTCACAATATTAACAAAATGGAGCCGATGTTTTACTCATCCTCTTACAAGTCTCAGCCAGCCCAGGATAGTGTCACGTATAGAGCAAAAATTGAGAAAATATGAAGGAGTTTGAAAAATAAGAATAAATTAAGAAAATAGAGGTGAGTATTCAAGTATTTATTTATTATTAAAGATATGTCTGAAAGAGGGAATTTTTATGAATAAGGAGATTTGCGGGATCACAGACTCACGGGAATCATGAATATAGTATTCTAAACCCGAAGGGAGAAAAGCATGGTGTGTCACGCATTTACAGAAGTGTATCCTCAGCATAAAACATTTGCTTGAGATCCGTATGTGACCGTCACTGGGTTTACCAATACATACATAACCAGTGCTTCACCTCTGCTTCGCAGAGGTGAAGCACTGGCGTCATGAATCGTAATAAACTCACTCTCTGAGATTGTCTCTCAAATCATTGTTTGGTTGATTGCAGCGTGAGAGCCTTAGTTAGAAATGAACCATACTCGCTGTCTTAATCTCACATGATATTAAGTATCGTAAATCATTCCTCACTGTAATTTCGTAACGGACAAACTCCACACAACTTCAGATTAAGCCGCTTATTATAAGTCATAGATAGTTCGTCTTATACATCAGATCAAATGATTTTATGATTTTCGAGAGTCATCAAAGCGTCTCTGCATGAGACCGTACGATAACCCATTCGATCTTTCACTCTTCTTCTGTGCGGGTTTGCTCATCGAGCAGTCCTTGCTGAAGAGACTCTAGTGATTCTAAAAAATAGCGTAGAAGGATCAAATAAGTTGATTATTCGAAATTTATACCATCAAATTTGAGTGTTGCACATCGTTATGAAATCTCGAGAAATAGTCACTTGTTAAGATCGTCTCCCTCTTATCAACTTATTTCTAGATTCAAATTGCGTGCGGGGGGGGGGGGGATTCAAAGTGGTTCCTTGCTTCCCGGGCTCGCGCTCCACGCTCCCCAAAATATTGATGCACAAAAGAATAGGTTCTCGTGAGTAAATCGCAAATGCCAGAGAGCGGCTGCCTCTTGCGATTTTTAATTTAGCCTCCTATCCTTGTGATTAAAGCACTCATACCAGATTGGTTAACTTTCCTTACCTGAAGTGAATGGATCTTAATTTTTACTCATACAGTAATTCTCTAAATACTGCAATGTAGCAGTATGATGTGTTTAGCAAGATCCACTTATTGTCAAAGCAGAATCGCATGGTTGACATCTTTGATCCATTCACCTCAGCAGAGAAAATGGTTTTGCTCCAGAGTGGAGAGTTTTTTTTTGTTTCTATCAATTCTAGTTCATTTTCGTAATTGATGCTACAAGCTTTCAGCAGTGTCCGTGTGAACTATGGCTGTGATCCGCTCAGTGACCGTAGCGCAGCGCAGCAGTGAGGAGTCTAAGCTGCTGAGCAAACACTAAGGGTGTTAAGTAGGTGAGCTTAGCAGTGTTGCACACGATAACGACGACGAACAACCCCGGATCCCGCTGGGAGCACTGGCTGAAGAGCACTTTCGAGGGAGGGGGGGGGGGAGGACAGGCCAAAGCTACTCTACTCGTTACGACCTCATCAGTTATTCGCATCCACGGCTGGCTTCGGTGTCTCCTGAACGTCTAGCCCGGCCCAACAGGTGTTTTGCAGACGTATTTGCTTACAAATGAGCTGGTAATGAGGACAACAACTGGTAATACTACACCTCAGACTCAACAACCTTAATTGAATACACTTAGCTGGGATATACTTCTAAAGAAATGTCCCATTATTGTTAGAAAAAGGGAGCTGCTACGTTAATCGACCAAACATTCACTGAAGTTTCTATAAGCAATCTTCCTTGTCTTTCTCGATGAATTCTGAACGAAATCGACCTTCGCCACTTAAAACATGTTGATACTTTCCAACCGCACAACATTGCTAAGGTATTAGTTCGTCCGGAAATTGATTTCCGTTCTGAATTTTAGTCGCAATAAGTCATACACTTCTCATTTCTAGATTGCAAAGTACCATATGATAGAGCAAAGCAAGCTCTACAGGAAGGCGGTCTTGCGTTTGCAACAGTTCTCATCTATCTCGAGTTTCGCGCCTCGAAAAATCGAAAAAACCGTGACTCAGATAAAAATTCTACAAAATTTTCCACCTGCTCACGTAAGCACTATCCGCATAACATCTGTATACCTCTGTTAGAAATCAAGAACGGAATTTTTCGTGCATTTGCTAAAGTAGCGCTCTGTTGTCCCCACATAAGTATTTGTATACTACAAACCTGTAGAAGTACCTTAAATTTTTAGCTCTCTACAAGCTTTAGTTCTCGAGAAAGATCGAATATAGCTTTCCCTAGTCAGATCGTCCATGCTTTGTAGGAGCTGAAAATTTACATTTGTACAGGCCCCGTAAAATCCAATTGCCCACGCGTGCTTTGAACACCAAAGCGCGGCGCGGCTGGAGACGTTGGGTCCCGAAGCGCTACAGGCTTTTTGCGAGCGACAGTGAGCGCGCACCCTTCCCACGCATATTTTTTTTCAAACTTTTGAAGGGAGTCTTCGTCAAGAGTACCTTGCATTAAGGAGAACGACATGAAAGTTAAAGAAAGATTTCTTGGAATGTAGTGAACGCCGACAGTCGTTCGCCACGACCGCTCGCTTGTGCTGGTGTCCAAGGCACGGCGCGGGCAATTAGGTTTTACGGCGCCTATACTTCTACAGTTTGTACTATACAACTAACTACTACCTATGTGGGTACGGCAAGCATCACTCTGGCAAATGCACAAAAATTTCCGTTTTCTGGATTTCTAACGTACCAAAAAATACGGCAACGTATACGTAGATGGCTTTTGTGGATAGTGTTTACGTGAGCAAGTTAGAATTTTGTAAGATTTTTTTAATGAACTGAGTTAGGATTTTTCTCGATTCTTCGGGCAGGTGAATCTTTTTAGTTTTTGGCTTATTATTAGAAATCTAGGAGGATCAGAGCTGCTGCCAAAGCAAGATCGCCATCTTGTAGAGCTTGCTTTGCTCTATCGAATGGTACTTTGCAACCTAATTACGAATGAGAAGCGTACGACTTATTGCGGTCGAAATCCACAACGGACAGTAATTTCCGGACATCCTAACGACTACAGTATTTTAATGAAAATAGCCTGACTGCATAGACGACCCAAAAACTTTTTCAAATAAAGGGGCATGGCTAGCGCGATGTCCTTTGAAAAATTTTTTTCGAATGTATTTTGATTTTGCGGCGTGGATTCTCGTGATTTCGAGAAAATTGTCCGAAAAAACGGAAAAGAATTTTCCGAGTTAATTTGAACTCTGATTTTTGAAAAATGACTCAAATTATTTACAAGTAAGACCAATTTACTGGCACAACTTTACTCAAGTGAACTATTTCGAAAAAATTATGCGTTACATCATTACCCCCCCCCCACTTTAATCATTTGCTTTTCTTTCTACCACTCCCTAGCTCTGTGTGTTAGCATTAGCAAAGAGTGTACAAAAAATCTAATAAGTATCGACTTTAAAACTTCGGTACTTTTCCGTTATCCGGACCCATTTTTTCAAAGAGGGATATTGCTTCTTCCCTTGTACCATATCTGGTCCCAACTTCACAGGAAGGAGTGTCAACCTTCCTGCCACGTGTCAAAAAATTTGACGTGTCATTTACATGTTTAACAGGTTTAATCAAGCGTTTGAGATGCCCTACCTAACGACGTAAGTTCAATCTGTTTTTCAGTCAATAATGGCCCCATTCGACTGAACAGTATCAAAAATGAAAATTATCATCATAATAACGTCGATATTAAAAAAAAACAGATTAGACAGAAAAGTGGGCTAGGGTCTCATTATCTAAGTGACGAAACAAGAAGCAGCGAGGAGCTTCAAGCCATCATGTATAGTCTTGTCTGACTAAATTTGTATGGCGTGAAGAGAAGGACAGTGATGAATCATTGCTAAAAACAATTCAGATGTTCTAATATACT